TTTTTTTTTTTTTTTTTCTGACTCTCAGTTTTTTTTTCTGTTTTTTTTTTTTTATTTTTTTTTTCCGTATTCTGTGGTGTACACTGTGGTGGGATCCGTCTTTGCCACTCAGTGTCTGTCAGTCTTTCTCACCCTGTGTGTGAGTTGATGAGAGGTAGCAACAGCTCCAAGAGAGCACGCAGTGAGTCCATGGAACGTAGTTCCAGCAGCAGTGAAAACAAGAATAATAACAACAACAACGAGAACAGCAGCAGCAGCAACAACAACAACGACAATGAAAACAGCGCACGTCATGTGAATGCCGGCCGCACAAACAATATGAATTCGAATAATAATAATATGAGCAGCACCCCAACGCCGGTGACGCAGCCCAGTTCGGCGACGGACACTCCCCCGCGGGATTTGGCCCTGGAGGAGCAGATGGAAAGACTGGAGGTGGATGAGGACTTCAAGGCATCACTCCGCAGTATGTCGCCTAATTCGAGAAGAGAGGTACTGGAAGATGTAATACGCGCACAGCAGAACGAACGTTTTCATCGCTCGTTTGGCGTTGCTGCTCGATTGGGTTCTTTCCCTTTAGACGCTGCGCTTGGCGGTTTGCTAAACTTGATGGCGATGAATGTTGCGGATGACAGCAGTGATGGAGAGACTGGAGTCTCCTTACTGCCGGATCAACTGCCGTCGCCCCCACAAACACGACAACAACAACAACAACAACAACAACAACAACAGAGTGGAGCTGGTGGTTTACATAATGACGCTCTCCCTGATCCATCGCCGTTTGGTATTCCACTGATTGGATTTATGCGAGCCTCCCGCATGCTGCGCGAGAACACAGATTTCGTTCGAGTGATGGAGGAAATTATTGCCAGACGCAATCTTGGCATCACGGAGGATGTGGATGAGATGTCCTACGAGGAGCTGCTGGAGCTGCAGGAGCGTATTGGGTATGCGAGCAAAGGAATCACAAAAGAACAGATGCGGGAGTGTTTGGCTGATGTCGCGCGGCCAAGTGATGGGACATGTGTGGTTTGTCAAGGCGAATGGCAGGAAGGCGATGCTGCTGCTGAATCAGCGGTGGAACTGAAGAAATGCCATCATGTATTTCACCGTGCTTGTATTGAACAGTGGCTTGGATCTAACAAGACGTGCCCTGTGTGTAAACAGGAAGTATTGTAGTGAAAGGGGGAGGCCTCTACTGTTTGAGTAAGAAGGGACGTAAAGGTAAGTCTGTGAGAATTGAAGTAGGTGAATGAGTGTGTGATGTTAATAGTAGAAAGTATGTATGTATGCATGCGTGAATGCACTGGGGGTTGGAAGAATAATGAGAGCGAGGGACGTGACGGCCAGGACTGATTGAAGGATATATATATATATATATATATATATATTCATAGATTACCGAATTTGCCATTCTATCTTTATCATATTCGCAACGCTATTAGAGAAACATCGTGTGATGGTGCCAAGCTTCCAATCAATATAATAGTTCTTTGTTTCCCCCTAATGTAGTTCACACACTTTACTTTGGTGTACGCCATCTCACTCACTCACTCACTCACTTTTCTACTGAAAAGGGCCAGACAGAGAAACTAGAGAGGGAAGTGGGGGAAAAGAAAGAAAAAACAAATGCAGTTCGATGCAAATGAAATATTAGACCAGTACGCTATTGAATGCGTGCCCGGAAGAGAGAAACTTTTACACTGAAAGAAAGAAGAAGGTACACGGAGTGGTAAACTTCAATTCAAGGTGTAATGATGGTAGGCAACAATAAGAAAAATAAAAATAAAAAAAAGTGTAGGAGTAGAGGAATATATATATATATATATATATTTCTCTCTGTTGTGTATATATGCGTGTGTGTGTGTGAAAAATGTTAATTTACATTATTCCTTTGTGTTCTTTTTTTTTTTTGTCTCTTAGTTATTATTATTATTATTATTATTATTATTATTTACGTGTGTTATCTATCACCTGCTGGATAGGAATGGACAAAAAAGAAGCAAATGGTGCGATTGCGTGTGTGTGTGTGTGTAATGTGAAGTGGGAACAACAAGAGTAAAAGAAAAGTAATAAT